TGATATTAAAATTAAAAAAGTAAAAATTACCAATTTTATTGAGCACTCTTTTAAGAATAGTAATTTTAGTTATTGAATTTATTCCGTTTGCACCAATCCTAAACTTGCATATATATATATATATATATATATATATATATAAAATTAATTGATTTAAAATATGTTTTTTTTTCGCTACACAGTTCTAACTATGTTTCAAAAAAATGGAAGCTAAAAGCCCCGAATTTAATTTTGTAATTAAATTAAAGACATTAGTTCCATTTCATCCTCAAGCGAATTTTGAGTAACTTTTAAAATTACTGGGTTTTAAATACACAGCTAAAAAACAAAAATTCAGGTTTCCAAGGTTACAGATAAATCTATTTTGCTAGACAAGGTGTCTGGGTGTTCAATATGTCTATATTTTAATGTATCAGTTATTGCTACGTTTTGGTAGTGGGTAGGGATGTATTTTTCAACTAAATCTAACATCCGTTAAAAGCGTGTCGTCTGGATTTTTTAAAAATTTTATTGTTAACGGCTAAAATTCTTACGGCCTTTTTTTCCTTCGCATATTTAAAGATTTTTTGTGGGGTGTTTAGGTAAGAATACTTTTTATTTAACTACGATTTGAAATATTTTTACTTTTAATTTTTAATATACTATATTTCTTTCAAGAACAATTAAATGTAATTAGAATCCCTTACAGTTTGTAGAATTATTATCACATCAAGTATATTACAATTTTTAAAAATTTTATATTTAAATATTATTTAAGTAAAATTTTCATTTCTCTGATTTAGTAAACTTTATTTATTTATTTAATTACAATTTAAAAGAAGTTTAGGTTAGAATTCATTTTAATTAACTACAATTTTAATTACAACTTTAAAATATTTTCATTATTAGTTTTTATAGACTATAGTTCATTTAATAGAAGTAAATGTATTAGATTTACTTACAATAAGTAAAATTATTTTTCCATATCAAGTATATTCATATTACAATTTTTAAAATTTTATATTTAAATATTATTTAAGTAATTTTTTTTTCACTTACGGCAAAAACAGCTAGTTCATTTCTCTAATTTAGTAAACTTTATTATTTAATTATAATTTAAAAGAAGTTTAGGTTAGAATTCATTTTAATTAACTACAATTTTAATTACAACTTTAAAATATTTTAAAAACATTTTCATTATTAGTTTATTTTAGACTATATTTCATTTAATAGAAGTAAATGTATTATAATTACTTACAGTAAGTAAAATTATTTTTCTATCTCAAGTATATTTATATTACGATTTTTAAGAATTTTATATTTAAATATTATAAAAGTAAAATTTTTTTTCACTTACGGCAAAAATAGCTTATTCATTTCTCTGATTTAGTAAACTTTATTCAATTATTTAATTACAATTTAAATTAAGTTTAGGTTATAATTCATTTTAATTAACTACAATTTTAATTACACACACACACACACACACACACACACACACACACACATATATATATATATATATATATATATATATATATATATATATATTCGTTTGATGAGTCATTTTGTTGAAGGAAAAAAGTACGCCTTCCATTTTATCCTTCTTATAAGTTCCTCTGTTTTTTGGCAATAATGTAATGAAATAAATCCTTTTGTTGGTATTTGGAATGTTCTTCAGAGAAATGCCAAAATTGATTTATTTCTATATTTTTAAGGTTTTTATTTTAAAATAAAAATTAAAAGTGCTTACCTTAACTAAGAGCAATATATATATATATATATATATATATATATATATATATATATGTGTGTGTGTGTGTGTGTGTGTGTATGTATATAGGAAAGAAGTTGTTCTTTCTTGTTATATATATATATATATATATATATATATATATATATATATATATATATATATATATATATTTGAGAGTAATTTTATTTGATCTGGCAATTCTTTTCTTTTTTCCACTCTTAAAATTCGACTTAAAGTCCCTTACCCACTCCTGGCCAGCTATAAACCCCATACCGTAAACACAATCTTGGAAAATATGCAAATACCGACGATATGAACAGATATTAAAAATTGAAAACAAAAAATATCATCACTTGTAGAAATATGTGACAGTACGTCTCACTCTCTCTCTCTCTCTCTTTTTCTCTCTCTCTTTCTCTCTCTCTCTCTCTTTCTATCTCTCTTTCTCTCTCTTTCTCTCTGTGAGTGCAATCTTGATGAAGATAGTGGGGGGGGGTTGATATGTAGTGTGGGTTAGTGTATAGATAGTGGCGAGTGGTCGCGTGCCAGGTGCAGTCATTGCATGCGTCGTATGGATGCGATAATTCTGGCGAATGATCGCTCTGTGAAGAAAGGTTTGTTGAGGAAGGAAAAAAATGATCAAGTTAAAAGAACATGTCGCCAATGAAGATGAAAAGTAGGAGGAAGATAGAATTGAAGGGGAGGAAAAGAAAGAGTGGCAGAGACGAAAAGAAGGCAGAATAATACAAGGTAAAGAGGAAGAACGTAATAATGCTAAGGAGAAAGTAAAAATAATACGAGGTAGTGGGAGGAGGAGGAGGAGGAGGAAAAGAAGAAAGTAAAAATATTATGAAGAAAAAAAGGAAGATGAAGATGAAGAAGAAAGTAAAAATATTAGGAAGTAAAAGAAGAAAAATGTGAAGAAGAAGAAAAAGAAGAAAAAAGTAAAAATGTGAAGAAGAAGAAGAAGAAGAAAAAAGTAAAAATGTGAAGAAGAAGAAGAAGAAAAAAAAGTAAAAATGTGAAGAAGAAGAAGAAAAAGAAGAAAAAAGTAAAAATGTGAAGAAGAAGAAGAAAAATAAGAAGAAGAAGAAGAAGAAGAAGAAGAAGAAAAAGAATAAAGTAAAAATACTAAGAATAAAAGAAGATAAAGAAACGAAGTAGAAGTAGAAAGTAAAAATATTAAGGAGAAATGATGATAAAGAAGAAGAAGAAGAAGAAGAAGAAGAAGGGGGAAGAAGAAGAAGAAGAAGAAGGGGGAAGAAGAAGAAGGGGGAAGAAGAAGAAGAAGAAGAAGAAGGAGAAGAAGAAAGTAAAAATGATGATAAGAATAATAAGAAAAAAATAAAAATATTAAGAAGAAAAAGAATAAAGTAAAAATAATAATACGAATAATAAGAAATTAAAAATATTAAGAAAAAGAAAAAGAGGAAAAAAGTAAAAATGTGAAGAAGAAGGAGGAGGAGGAGAAGAAGAAGAAGAAGAATAAGAATAAGAAGAAAGTAAAAATATTAAGGAGAAAAGAAGAAAAAGAAGAAAGTAATTATATTAAGGAGGAAAGAAGAAGAAAAAGAAGAAAGTAAAAAATAATAATAATAATAATAATAATAATAATGAAAAGAGGAAGAAGAAAAAATAAAAATATGATGAAGAAGAAGCATTAAAATGAATAAAAAGTAGATATATGAAAATATAATAGAAAAGTGGAAAGAAAAAGAAAAGTAAGAATGAAATATTAACTGAACTTGTCAACAAGGAAAAAATTCTAAGGTAAAAAGTAACAGCCAAGTAAACGTATAGTTACAATCAAAAAGAGACCAGCAAAAATGTGTGGGTCATATAATGAGGAAAAATACCCTGGAGAATTTAACAGTTACATAATATTGAAAGGAAGCGAAGCAAGGGAAACAGGCTAATTAGCATATTGGTATGAATGTCTGGCACGTCAAGGACAACGAAAGAAAGAAAGAAAGAAAGAAAGAAAGAAAGAAAGAAAGAAAGAAAGAAAGAAAAAGAATAAGAAAGAACGCAAGAAAAAGGAAAATACGACAGAAAGAAAAAAGAGTGAGAAGGATAGAAACAAGCAAACAAAAAGAATGAATAAGAAAGAAAGTGAGAAATGAAACGAATAAAAGAAAAAGAAAGAAAAAAAGAAGGAAAGAAAGAAAGAATAGAACAGAAGGAAAGAATGAAAGAAAAGAAAGCAGGAAAGAAGAATGGAAGGAAAATGAAGAAAGAAAGAATGATAGAAAGAAAAAAGAAAAATAAGAATGAAAAGTAACCGACGAAAGAAAAAAAGAAAAGAATGAATAATAAGCTAAAAAGAAAAAAGTAACATAAAAAAGAAATAAAAAAAGGAACATACGAGAAAAAGAAAAAGAATGAAAGAAAGTAAAAGAATGAGAAAGAAAGACAGGAAGGATAGAATTAAAGAAACAAAGAATAAGATGAAAAAGAAAGTAAAAGAAAAAAGAAAATGAAAAAAATAATAAAAACGAAAACAGAAAGATAGAAAAAAGAAAACGTTAGAAAGAAAGAAGGAATAAGAATGAATTATAAATTAAAAAGAAAGAAAAAGGTATAATAAAGAAATAAAGTCAAAAATGAAAAATAAGAAAGAAAGAAAGAAAGAAACAGAAATAAAGAAAGAAAGAGAGGAAGGAAACTGGAGAAAAAAAAAAAAAAACAACAAAGAAGCAAGGAATAGGAAAGCAAAAAAGAAAGAAAGAAAAAGAAAAAAAAGAAAGAAAACGAATAAGAATGAAAACAGAACGACAGAAGAAAAAGAAAATGTAAGAAATAAAGCAGGAAAGAAAGAATAAGTATTAAAAAGAAAGAAAAAAGAAAGAAAAAAGAAAGAAAAAGTAAAAAAAAAACGAAAAAAAAGAAAGAAAGAAAAAAGAAAGAAAGCGAAAGAATAAGAAAGAAACAAATACAGAAAAAAAATGGAGAAAGGATTAAAAAAGAAAGAAGCAAAGAATAAAAGAGTAAAAAATGAAAGGAAGAAAAAAGAAAAAAGAAAGAAAAAGTAAGAACGAAAAAGGAAAGAAAGAAAAAAGAAAACGTAACAAATAAAGAAAGAAAGCAAGCAAGAAAGAACGAATAAAAATGAATAATAAATTAAAAAGAAAGAAAAGGTATAATACGAAAGAAATAGTGAAAAAAAGAAAAATATGAAAAAAAAGAAAGAAATACAAAGAATACAAAAAAGAAAGACAAGAAGAAAGAATTAAAGAAAGAAAGAAAAAAGAATAAGATAGTTGTTGTGGTAGGATCTACCTAATTTGCATAGTGGAGTACCGACCATATAAATAGGGTTGGTACCGGGAAGAGAGGGAGGAATCAAGACATTCACTCTCAGTCGAACTCTCTGCATTTTGCAGTGAGGGACCCGGACGAGGCTTTGCCGAGAGGCAGAGTTTCGTCCGGTGTGGTAGACAGGCCTTGAACCCGTCTAGGCGGGTTCAGAAAGGCCATATTTTTGGCCGAGCCTAAGGGCTCGGAGATACCCACTTTAAACCGGCCTTGTGCCACATTTTATCCTCGTAGGTGGATAGATAAATACAGGAATCAAGAGATTCAACTAGAGACTCTGCCCGACTGCGACTGAGTCAACACATTCTCCAGGAACGGTCTTACCAGGAATATACAAAAGGCTATATGTAAATATTGTGTACAATTTCTTGTTTCAATACATTTTGTTCTAAGTACATTTTGTGTTGCATTATTATTCCATGCATTAGTCAAGTTTCAACAATAGTAAAAGAAGAAAGAAAGGAAAAGAAAAAATAAGAAAGAAAAAAGAAGGAATAAAAAAGAAAAAGAAAGAAAGAAAGAAAGAGAGTAGAAAGAGGAAGAAAGAGTGAGAGATGACTGAAGAGAGAATGAGATTGACATTAAGAAGTCTAAAAAAAAAAGATTATGAGTAAAGCATAGAAAAGAAATAAAAAAAGAAATATTGAAGAGGTTCTTTATAAAGAAAATATGTTTGAATAATCAAAAAGGAGCGGAAGGATGAAAAAACGTTGTCCAAGAGAAAAAAAAAAAAAGAAAGTAGAAAAGTGGATGATAAAGGGCATAAAATGAAAATTAGGCGAAAAGTAAAATAGAAGATCAAAAAAAAAAAAAGAAAAAAAAGAACGTAAATACGGTGAGGTGAAAAGAAAAAGAAAGAAAAAGAAGAATATAGAAGAACGAGATGAAACGAACGTAAAAAGAAAGAAAAGGCGAAAAGAAGATGAAGGTAAGAGGGAATGTAGTAAATGGGGTGGGGTGCATCAAAAGAAAGAAGGTGGTAGAAAGAAAAGAGAAGGTGGAATTTAATATAGAAAAGAAGGTGAAAAAAGAGCAAGAAGAAAAAAAGGGGGTAAAAAGAAAAATGAAGGTAAAAAAAGAATGTAAAAATGCAGGTGAAACGAAACCAAGAAAGTGAAAAATGATAGAAAATTGAGGCGAAACGAAATGAAGACTGTAAAAGAAAGTAAAAACTAGAGGCGAAACGAAGGAAAAAATGTAAAAAAAAGTAAAAAAAAAAGGAGGAAAAACGAAGGAAAGAAAGTAAAAAAAAAAAAAAAATCTAGAGGCGAAAAGAAACAAAGAAACTAAAAGAGTGAGGAAAGAAAAGAAGATTTTTTTAAGCATTTCGCCCCAAGCAAGGCAGGAGTGCCACCAGCACGCAAGGGGTTACAGGGAGTGAGAATAAGAGTAAAGAGGAGTGTTTGAGGAAAGGATAAAGAGAAGAACAGGGATCGAGGTCAAGGCATCAGAAGATATCGATTGACATTACATTTGAATATTTGAAGATTATAGTTATCAGGGAAGCAAGTGATAGGAAGGGAGTTCCACTGAGGGGAGGTGTGAGGTAAGAAGCTGTTGGAGTAGAAGAGATGGCTACATTTGATTGTTTCGACAGTGAAAGGGTGGGGCCGAGATGCCAACCTAGTATCACGCTTAAATTCATGCTGTCTGGGAACCAGTGAAAGTAGCTCGTCAGATCAGTTGCCATGAAAGTACTTGTAGGAAAGACAGAGGGAAGCCACAGCACGTCTGTGAGAAAGTGACTGTAGACGGGATGCCAGATCAGGACCAATCACGTTGCATATCCGTCTCTCGATTTTGTCGAGGGCCTCGAGATAAACAGCGGGAGTACCAGACCATATATGGCAGCAGTATTCCATGCAAGGACGAATGGTTGATCTGTAGATCTGAAGGATGGACTCAGGCGAGAAAAAACCTTCTGGCGCGACACAGAGAACCAACTTTCCTTGCGGTAGATGAAACTATAGATTCAATGAAGTTGTTCCAGTGGTCAGCATGAGGCCAAGCAGGCGCAGAGAGGCGCTCTCGTAGAGTTGGGCATCAGTCACCCTGTTGAGAGGCAGGGTGCGTTCTCTTTGGTGGGTAACTGAAACCACAGATTGGTGGTCCTTCAGGGTAAAATGATGTACAGGAATTTGCAAATGCAAATAAAATGTTGAAGGAAAGTTAAAGAAAATCATTTTAAAAAAATGAAGTGAAAATGCAGCAAAAATACAAATGGATAGAATTTAAAATAAACCAACCTAAAAGAAGAAAAGGAAAAAAAAAAAAAAAAAAAAAACAAATAGGAATAAATGCGATGAAAAGGAAAGAAAGACGGAAGAAAAGAATGAATAAGCAGAAAGTAAAGACGGAAAAAAACAAGGAAGAAAACAATGAAACCAAATGAAATATCAGTTATGATATTGAATATCAAAAGAGGATCAAATAAAAAAATGAAGTTACGAAGAAATAAAGGCGGGAAGATGGGCTTATGAGAAATTAGAGAGAAGGAAACTTGTTATAGAGGTGGGAGAAGTTGAGCAGAGAAATGGAAAGAGAGAGAGAGAGAGAGAGAAAAGGAATAAGTGAGAGAGGGTGATGTTAAAACAAGAGAGGAATAAGGTGAGAAAAAACGAGTCAAAATAAAGAACAAAAGGGGGGAGCGGGAGAATAATAATGGTGAAAGCACGCAAGATTGAAAGCGTGTAGGAAATACTAGAAAAATAGGACAGGCAAATCTACTAAGAAGTACATAGATAGATATGAGCAGACTGAGATAGATAGATAGATATGATAGATGAACAGACTAGATAATAGATATAGATATATGAACAGACTGATATATATATATATATATATATATATATATATATATATATATATATAGATAGATAGATAGATAGATAGATAGATAGATATGAAACAGACTGAGATAGATAGATATGACCAGACTGAGATGGACAGATAGATATGACCAAACTGAGATAGATAGATAGATAGATAGATAGATAGATAGATAGATAGATATGAGCAGACTGAGATATATATATATATATATATATATATATATATATATATAGATGAGATAGATAGATAGATAGATAGATAGATAGATAGATATGGACAGACTGAGATAGATAGATAGATAGATAGATAGATGAATAGATAGATAGATAGATAGATATGGACAGACTGAGATAGATAGATAGATAGATAGATAGATAGATAGATAGATAGATAGATGAGATAGATAGATAGATAGATAGATAGATAGATAGATAGATAGATAGATATATAGATGAGATAGATAGATAGATATAGATAGATAGATAGAAGATAATGAACAGACTGAAATAGATATATATATATAGACTGATATATATATATATATATATATATATATATATATGAACAGACTGAGATAGATAGATAGATATGACCAGACTGAGATAGATAGATAGATAGATAGATAGATAGATATGCACAACTTGAGATAGATAAATAGATAGAGATGGACAGATTGAGATAGATAGATAGATAGATAGATATGACCAGACTGAGGTAGAGAGATAGATATGACCAAATTGAGATAGATAGCTAGATAGATAGGTATGAACAGTCTGAGATAGATAGATAGATAGATAGATAGATAGATAATGAACAGACTGAGATAGATAGATAGATAGATATATGAACAGACTGAAATAGATAGATATGAGCAGACTGATATATATATATATATATATATATATATATATATATATATATATATATATATGAACAGACTGAGATAGATAGATAGGTATGGACATATGATAGATAGATAGATAGATAGATAGATAGATAGATATGAACAACTTGAGATAGATAAATAGATAGAGATGGTCAGATTGAGATAGATAGATAGATAGATAGATAGATAGATAGATAGATAGATAGATATGACTAGACTGAGGTAGAGAGATAGATATGACCAAATTGAGATAGATAGCTAGAGAGATAGGTATGAACAGTCTGAGATAGATAGATAGATAGATAGATAGATAGATAGATAGATAGAGATAAATGTAGAAACATAGTTTGTTAGATATAAAGAGAAACTGCGTGAGAGAGAGAGAGAGAGAGAGAACAGAAAGGGAGAATTACTGCGGATAACAATCCAAGAGAAACGTAGATTGAGAGAGAAAGAGGAAGCTAGGAAAAGAAAAAGAGACAGAAAAAAATCAGCGAGTGACAGGTAGACAGATAGATAGAGAGAGCGTGAGAGAGAGGAGGAGTGTGACATAGAGACACAGACACTGAGAGAAAGAGAGAGAGAGAGAGAGAGAAAGGGGGAGAGAGAGGTAAAAGCAAAAAGAGGAAACCATTAAGAAAAAGGCAAAAAAAAATAAAAAAAAAAAAGAACGAAGCGAGACAGAGAAAAAGAAAGACATAGAGACCGAGCGGGTGAGTGGGAAAGAGAATGGAAGAGAGAAAGAGAGAAGGTGGGGAGAGAAGGGAAGGGAGATTGTGACTGAAACAAAATGGAATCGTGTCGAATTATCAATTAGGTTAATTACTTTCCAATGCCTAATGTCAGCAAGAGGAAAGACTCCTCATGTCGAATCAGCAATTTTTTTATTAATTAGATTTAATTTCACCTGTTAATTTTGGATATTCCGAATGCTGAAAAGAAAATGAAACAATCCAAGAGGGAATTTTGAATTTCGATATTGCTTAGTATTAAATCAATTATATTTCAGATGAAGCAACCCAGACCTTATCTTATTCAACTCCCTCTACATCGACGTCATTGCACAAGTTAGGATACGCATTTCCACCGGTGAGGCTAATCTTTATGGCAGTTTTAAATTCAAGTTTAGCTTCAAACTGATTCCTTTTAGACGCTTACCGCAGTTTTTGCTATTCAGAAAGCACGTAAATTGCAGTTAATCATTGTTTTTGCAGGCAGGGTACGGTTCTTGT